ACTTTATAAGATGATGCCTAGCATTGTCTGAGAGAGACAGAGCTTTCAGGTTAAGATCTTAAGGCTTGCACCAAGTGCAAAAAATGAAAATCAGAGTGCATTGTGTTGGGAAAAAACAGTGAATTTGGTTCCTGTTGGGGAAGAGTGGGACCCACGTACATGAGCAGAATGCAGCCTGATACTTCATCTCATTTAACTGCTTATCAGTTAGTACTAAACAGGATTAGTATAAAAACAGGAAGATCTCAGCTGGAGACTTTAAAGGAGAGAGGAGGAATATTAAAATTCCCTTTGTTGGGAAAGCCACTGAAATTTACGTTTTGGTTGTTACCATGCGGTACCCTAGCCCATCCTGACCAAAAGAGGCATTGCCTGACACAGAACCCTGCAGTATCTCATTCTACAGGAGTGGTGCTCTATGGTGGAGCCAGGGTATTTTTCTTTAATAATTAAAGTATTTTTCTACCTTTCCTCCCTTAAGGTGGACTTAGGTGAAGGCAAGATTTGCTTCTGTTGTGAAGAATTTCAACCAGCCAAATGCACAGACAAAGAAAATGCCTTGAAACTCTTTCCGGTTCAGCCTTGTAGCGCTGTTCACCTTCTACTTAAGGTACCTTGAACAGATTCCCACCCCCACTGATAAATACACCACAGAGCCCCCAAAGAAGGCAAAGTTACTTGAAATATTCATGTTCTGTTACCTCCCTCAAACAATTTAGCTGCTGGAAAGCACATGTGAGCGACCCCTCATTGGTACACAGAAACAGAATTGAATGCAGAAAGAACCACGGGTTATTATGTGTGTTAAACTATGTATGAATATGTTTCTTTGTGTTGGAGAACTGTAAGACAGTAAAAAATGGAAAGGAGCTGACTATATATTTATGTATGTATACACATATACATATACATACGCATATATGTATACCTACACACATATATATGGTGCAGCTTTTAGCAAAATCTTTAAGTTGCACACTCATGTGTCATTGTTGTGATACTCATTTGTTTGCTCACATGGGTCATATGGAACACGGAGTGCTACCAGTCTGCAATACATATCCTAAGGAGAGAGACTGGCCAGAAAATATAGGGGGAATTGAAGCACTTTAGCTCTTGTTTAATAAGCAACAATTATAATAAGCCAAAAAGATTAAACAAACAAACAGATGATCCCAGTTGAAGAGAAATACACAATTAGCCTTCATCAGGGAGTTGTATAAAAATTGTGCCCTGACTTAAGGAACATTAGCTCAGTGAGTGACAAAATCAGCTGGTGAACCCTGAGGTATGGCTTTGAGAGAGTCCACTTCCGCCGGCTTTCTTTAGATGTTTGTTTTGGGTTTCATTTTGGTGAGGAGGAAGAATCTCCAAGCAAAGAGAACTGTTCCAAGCTACCAGCTCTGGGGTGTGTGGGATGTAGAGATGGCCTGCTTTCCATGGCTTCTGCGTTTTTGGTAGCTGAGTCACCCCCAAACTTTCTGAGCCAGGACTTAGCTTGGGGAAAGCCCCACTAAAGGAGCCAGGACTGTAGCAACAGAAGCTTTTGGAATGGGCTTTGCTGCTATTTTGAGATGTGTGTTTAGTAGAGACAAGTCCTTTATACACTCTGGCTGGGCCGGCCCCTGCAGCGTTCTCGTCAAGTGCAAGGGGCAGTGCGGCCAATTGCTCTTGAAATAGAATCAGTGGCCACAAATTAAGCAGTGTGCTGTCCTGGTGGGAGGCTGTGGGAGGGAGGAAGCTGGGAATTGCTATCCTTGGGGACATCAGCCTCAGAAGAGAAACTCACTGCTCTCCTGGAAGGAATGTTTCCTGACAATATTCTGATGCTTGCAAAGAGAAGTACTGTCATACCGGGTCATTCTATGACAGGGAGCTTCTAAGATAAGTTTTTGAAATTAAGAAGTACACATTATTGCATGAGGGTCATAATAATAGCCAGCATTTATTTGGGCGCTTTCCATGAACTAAACAACACCTAAGTCCTTTACATGCACCCTCTCCTGAGAATTGTCTTATGGAGAGAATGTTACTATCATTTTTAAGAGTGTCTACATCGTATTCTGGTCATGCGTGTTGAAGTACTTAGTGGTGCCATTGTTTCCTTGCCCCAGAAAGTCCTCTTTGCCCTGTGTGCCTTGAATGCCCTGACCACCACCGTCTGCTTGGTGGCTGCCGCCCTCCGCTACCTCCAGATATTCGCAACCAGGAGATCCTGCATCGTAAGTCTACGCAAGGGCGCCATGCCCATGTTTCTGCGGAGCCAGCCCATGGACCCTTTCCTGCCATCCATTGCCTCTCTCCCCCTGCCTTTGTAAGGAAGGCTGTTGACTAACTGAGCTGCTGTTTAATCAGGATGAATCCCAGATTTCTGCTGAAGAAGTGGAGGATCATGGACGCATCCCCGACCCTGATGACTTTGTGCCGCCTGTGCCTCCCCCTTCCTATTTTGCCACGTTTTACTCGTGCACACCCCGGATGAACCGCAGGTATCACTCCTGAGTTCCCCTGCAGTCTGAGTGGGGTGCTGTGGGCTCTGAAGACTGAAATGTCTCCAGAACTCACAGCATGAGATCCGGCTTTTCTTTGAAAAAGAAAAATTGTGCCTGACTTAAGGAACATTAGCCCAATGAGTGACAAAATCACCTGGTGAACCCTGAGGTCTGGCTTTTAGAGAGTCCACATCTGCCAGCCTTCTTTAGAAAATTGAAAACCGATTGTGCTATTTTTCAGGGGTTTCTATTCTCTCTGTCTCTCTCTCTCTTTTTTCTGTCTTACTTTCTCTGTCTCTCTTTGTCCGATAAACCAGATGAATCCAAAGAAAGGTTAAACTTTGAACCTAAAGATAGACATTTTCAATTTCAATTACCTTTCGAAGGAAAACTGACACCCAGGGAGATAACAGCTGTTAATCTGACATGATTGAGAGTCGCCGTTGCCTTGGAAACACTTCCAGTTAGGCCAAATCGATGTTTCATTGTAACACCATCAGCAGGTCTCACCAATCATGAAATTCTTCCTAGCCATTAAAAAGAGATTAATTATTAATTGTATCTCCCTGGTCTAGAAAAAATAGATCTCATACTTACTTTCCTTTTCAAATTTCAAGCTCAAATTTTTGACTTTCTTAAATATCAAGGATTATTATTGGTATAATGAAATGCCGCATACATTTGTCTGATTGTTAGCAACTTCTAGAATCAAACCTTTTTAAAGAAAGACTTATTTTATTCCTTCAACAAACAGAATCCTCTGCTGCTTAGTAGTTGCTGTGCTGGGTTATTGGAATTCAAAATGAGCTAGACCTGCTTCCTCCCCTAACATTAAGGAGCTCATAGTCTAGGTCATTAAAATGTTGGAAGGATCACAATAGTATTCAAAAGAGGGATGCTTGGTGTACAGAGAAGGTCCACCTAACCCAGAGTTGTAAGGCAGTCAGAGATAGTTTCCTGGATGAAGTGACCTTAAGCTGAGTTTAAAGTTTAAAGGATAAGCAAACCTCTGTTTAACTTTCTGAAAGAAAAATCTCTCAATTCCACAGAAAGACTAGTGTCTTTAGCTTCATATTCAGAGGGCCAGAAATTTCTATTTTTTAATTGCTGTAGTACATGTAGAGACTGATCAAACCAATTTGGTGCTGAGCTTGAGGTTTTTAGAGAAGCATTTTCTAATATCCAGGGCAGCTGTATGTGACTTTGAGATGCATCACCAGTGGGGCGGCCACCCACACACTGTTAGTGTTCTTTTCAGTGGGTTAGCTGCTGACTTGTCCCTTAGAGTTATACCCGAGCCCTACCTCTATGCCCTCCCCTGCCCACCTGCCCAGGCCGGGGCTGAGATGACTGCAAAGCTGGAGGGGGTGTAAGCAGGGTGACAGGTGGCCTGGGCTAGGCCCGTGGGACAGCTCGGCCTCTCTGTTGTTCAGGGAGTGGCCTCTACTGGAATTTCGAAGCCTCAGGGGCTGGGATGGCTTCCCTAATCTTTCAGGAAATGAGCCAAGAATGACAGAGGCAGAAGAGGTATGGCAGCAGAATACATGTTCTTTCTGTACCTGAGGACACATTTGTAAAAATCTTAGCCCTTTCTCAGGCTGTCTGTAGAGGGTACATTGGAGGACAGCAAAAATGACTGATATTTCATGGTGGGGATGAGAAATACCCTCTCCAATAAGAATTCCTTGGCGCTGAGGTTGCGGATGAGCACTTCGTTGACCTAGGAGGAGGCAATAGACAGATTTAGTTTCCTGCAGTGGCAGAAAGGGAAAGTGACTCATGTGGGTTTAGGAGCCGTGCCATCCCGCAGTGTGCTCTGAGCACTCCCGACCTTCCTGTCTCCTCGCTTTCCTTTCTCTTCTCTGCTCCACCATAATAGTGCTTCTCAGTGCAGATATTTCCACTCTTTAAGATCAAGGTGCATCCTCGGATTTGTCTCTCTGAGTCCTGAGACAGCCTCTGGCCAAATCCAGGTTGGAAGAAAAAGACAAGCTTCTCATCAAGTGCTTTATCACTCAGAGCTTTCTAGAAAGAAGGTGGAAGGAGGGAGTTAAATCACTGTAGTCTTGTGAGAAAGAAGACATTGCCCAGTCCAAAATACCTGCCTGGACCCCTGTAATTATATTAGCAATGGGCAAACACCTTGATTTTTAAAAATTTTACGAATATCAGAGTGCAGCCTACTTTCCTTTATTCAAAAGGGCTGAGTTTATTCACATTCAGATACATGTTCTATCAAAAAATTTAAAAATTTGCTAGATTCACAGTATAAATCAGCTTTATAGATATTACAGTTTAACCTCAATTAGTAATTTTCTTTCTCATAAGCAGACAGGCAAGAATATTCATGAATGCTTTTGTTACTATTTCTATGACCAGTTTTATTCTGAGTTTTCACACAACAGAGGGTCCCCACTTCCTGTAAGGTATTATGACCTCTCAGAAAGGGTTTATTTATTTAACTTCTATAAATACAACCACTTCATGCATTGGTATCTCCTTGAGAAAAGGCTTCTCGTGTTACTGTCATAAACGGAAGCCTGACTGCAGTTGAGGTTTCTGTCCAAAGATGGGTTGGCTACTTTGTGAATTGATTTGTAATACAGGAGGGGCCATACACCCTACCTCCACGACTCCAGGATGTCTCTGTTCTCAGAAGTTGGCTTGAGCCAGAAATCAAGGAGTCTCCAACCTATTTCATGAAAATGGACCTGCTTTTTACTCTGGGGATGTAGCATATTAAATAAAACTGAAGACGGAGCAGGGGCGTGTCAGGCATTGATGTGGTTGACGTGGACATTTCTTAAAGCAGAGCCCCCCAAACTCCACTCATTTCCTCCTGAGAATTTCCAAATCCAAACTCAAGTGAACCTGGGCGATCTTGCGGTTGAGCCAGTGCTCAGCGATAGAGGGTGGAAGGAGGGCACTTCCCTCTCCCCACTCTGTGCAGGAACCCCGTGCCCAGTCACAGGGTACAGTTTTCCAGTACAGAAGGAGGAGGATTCTTTGGTCAGTGGTGTATTCAGTGCTGCATTCCCCTCGAGTGAGTTTTCAAGGCCTATTTGTAGCAGTAAAGTAGAACATGCCTTGAATTTCCATCGTCCGTGTTCCTGACCCTGTATGAGTGAAGGCTTCCTGGAGACTTGGTGATGCACTTGAAAGAGCCCAGGTTCTATAGCCTCTGCAGAGGGTGACCCAGGATGAGTTCTCGCCATTTCTGAGCCTCAGTTTCCTCATTCACCTTCACTGTCACATGGCTATGGGGAGTATTGTTATAAGATAATGAACATAAGAAGCTTTCTGAAAAGAACAGCTTAGAGCCAGCTTTCCCAGTGTTAGTTCTGCGGTTTAAAATGCTCTCAGTATGTGTCCTACTCTTAAGAAACACTTAGCTCTTAACCTTAGCCTGACCTTATTAGACAACTATCTTCTGAAGGCCCTCATTCGTAATAAAAATTTGATCAACTTGCCCAGTAGAACAAGGTTGTCATTTCAATCACCATTATCCATTTCCTTTGCAATAGTGCTCAATCTTGGTGGTGCCTTAGAATGCCCTAGGAGCACTAAAACGGTCAGATTTCCGGGCCCCACCACAGGCAATGAATGCAGAATTTCTAGAAGCGAGGTCTGGACCATCCATAGTTTTAGAACCTCCCAAGATTATTCTACCCACCTTACCAGGGCTGAGAGCCATGGGGATCAGAGGAAAGAAGAGTTAAAAAAAAAAAAAAAAAAACCAGCTGGGTGTAGTGGCTCATGCCTGTAATCCCAGCACTTTGGGAGGCTGAGGCAGGCAGATCACTTGATGTCAGAAGTTCAAAACCAGCCTGGCCAAAATGGTAAAACTCCATCTCTACTAAAAATATTTTAAAATTTAGCCCAGCATGGTGGCAGGTGCCTGTAATCCCAGCTACTTGGGAAGCTGAGACAGGAGAATTGCTTGAACCGGGGAATCAGAGGTTGCAGTGAGCCGAGATCATGCCACTGCACTCCAGCCCAGGCAATGAAGCGAGACTCTATCTAAAATAATTAATTAATTAACTAAAATAGTCAAACTCACAGAAGCAGAGAGTACAATGGTGGTTTCTGGGGCTGAGGGGAGGAGAAGTGGGACATTGCTGTTGAAAGTTTCAGCAATGCAACATGAACATGTTCTGGAGATCTGCTGCACAACGTCCTGCCTAGAGTCCGTAACACTGCATTGTACACTTAATTTGTGAAGAGGGTAGATCCCNAACCAGCTGGGTGCAGTGGTTCATGCCGGTAATCCCAGCACTTTGGGAGGCTGACGTGGATGGATCACGAGGTCAAGAGATCAACACCATCCTGGCTAACACGGTGAAACCTTGTCTCTACTAAAAATTAGCCAGGCGTGGTGGCGTGCGCCTGTAGTCACAACTACTCAGGAGCTGAGGCAGGAAAATCACATGAACCTGGGAGGCAGAGGTTGCAGTGAGCTGAGATTGCGCCACTGCACTCCAGCTTCTGGGCAACAGAGAGGGACTCCATCTCAAAACAAACAAACAAACAACCTGCCAGTATGTAGCAGACCCATTTCCCTCCATGGATCCTTGTTTACTCAAATGAGATAAAACAGACTGCTGAATAGGAAAGGATCTTTCCTTCTATGTCAACTCTAGCAGCATCTTCCTTCAAAGCAAAGCTTTTATGGGGATTATCATAACTACCATAGAAGCTGTTTATTTTGTGATCAGCTTGGATAAAGTATGCCCCCTCTTTCCCCAGTTGTTCTTCTGGAAGAAATTCTGCAAGTTTAGGATCTAAAACAGAGCCTGTTCTTCTGACCTCTTAGCCCTCAGCAAGCCCTCTCCTCTCTCCAGACACATAGGTAGCCATTGCGTTGGGAATGCCAAACGGGGACCATCAGAGCTAACCAACAGACAACCAAAGCTGGAGAGATAATCTTTCCAGGCAGGGGACACAGCAGTGAAGAAATACAGGTTTTATTTATTGGGGAGAAAAAGTTAACTGTTTGTAAGTGCTAGGACAGTGGCTCATAGGGCTATGCTCTTTAAAGATGGAAGGCTGGCCCTCTGGAGAGGACAAGAGGTCCATAGGTCTCATAGATGAAAACAAATTTCACTGTTCATTGGCCAGGAAAGGGTTTTCATTCTTAGATCCAGGAAGCATTTGGCTTCTCAGAGTCACTCAGCCTTTGTAGTCCTTAAACAGTTTCAGTGGAATACGGGAGTTGGAATGAAGCCTGTTGGCAAGACCTGCTCTCAGGGGAGAATCTCTCTTTCATGATAACTTTGCCTCACAAAGGGACCCTTTGTGCTAGTGCCTCGCTTCCAACTGGAGGCTTCACGTGTTGTGGGCTGAACCTGAAAACGTTCCCACTTCAGGTGTTAGCACATCACCTTCTGCCTTCCCTTTCAGGCCAAGCAGGGGATGAGCTCCTCGCTTATGAACAGATAAATATAAAGGAAAATGAGGGAGTGCTTTCTCATCGTTTCATTCAGGTTGCAGAGTCTCATTCTTTTCAATGCCAGAATTCCAGAAGCTTTGTTATTGGAAAGAAAGAAGACCGCATCCTTTTCAAATTTTTTCTTCCACCAATCACATTTTGTACATGGCCACAAAGAATAAAACGAAACAACTGTAAATTCAGAGAACACCTCTCCCCAAAAGGCAGTGCCTGCAAGCAACTAGCCCAAGAATCTGTTTTCTCATCCATTTCTATTAGCTTTCTAAAATTCTTTTTTGAATTTCAAGAACAGGCAAACTTTTGCTCGGTTTTTTTTTTCATTCTCTGATACTGCATCGTGGAATACAGGTTTTCTGGATTGTATATGTATTTTATAAATTATTTTAAAACTTAGATTCTTCCTTATCTAGATCATCTAGCACCTTGAACAGAGATTTATGGAATTTTCTATCACCATTGGGGAGAAATGTTGTGTAGGATTTTGCTATTATTTTGAATTTTGCTGTTGACAGTTCTTTAGCCACAGGACGAAAACAAGAGCCATGCAGAGTGTAAGAAATAACTGAATTTCCCTGAGTCCTTAGTTGTTTTTTAAATTAAGATGAAACTCATATAAAATGAAATTAACCAAAGTATACGATTCAGTAGCATTTAGTACATTCACATTATTTCATAGTCATCACCTTTATCTAGTTCCAAAGCATTTTCAATACTTCAAGGAGATCCCATACCCATCAAACAGTCACTCCCCATTCCCTTCTCCCCCATCCCGTGGCAACCACTAATCTGTCCTATGTCTCTATGGATTACTGTTTGCTTTTAGACTGATGGTTTTAAATGGAATGATGGGGTTGCATTTTATACACTGTCATTTGCATAAGGAACTCTGGCCACTCCATCAGAGAGCAGCTTCTATTATTCTCCCTCTCCTGGCCCGGGGGCCGTGGTATGGAGAGGTAAGTGGTTTTCCCATGGTTTAGGGCAAAGTCAGTATCCAGGCATCATTGCAGTCACATGGCCAGGTTGTAGAACGTGCTTTCTGATGCCAAGTCGCTTTTCCTAGGATGGTTGGTCCTGATGTTATTCCCCTGCCACACATCTATGGAGCTCGAATCAAAGGTGTGGAAGTGTTCTGTCCTCTGGATCCCCCGCCGCCATATGAAGCTGTGGTGAGCCAGATGGACCAGGAGCAGGTACCGTCCTGATTCTAAGTACACTGACTGCAAGTGGGCAACACAGCACCCCCCATCCCCAGAGACAGCGAGGAGACTGGGCCCCACACATCTTTTTAAGGAGTTCATTGAGTCTGACGAGGGCTGAATTAAACATCCACAAAATAACCCTCTTTTTTCCTGCAATGCAGGGATCTTCATTTCAAATGCCAGAAGGATCAGAAGCTGCTGTGATCCCATTGGATCCATGCTGCACACAAGTGACTCAAGGTAGTACATACATTATGACATGATTCAGTAGATTAAAACATGATAAAATAAGCTGGGCAAGGTGGCTTATCTCTGTAATCCCAGCACTTTGGGAGGCCAAGGTGGGAGGATCACATGAGGCCAAGAGTTGGAGGCCAGCCTGGGCAACATAGAGAGACCCTGTCTCTACAAATGAAAAAAAAAAAAGCCATGATAAAATAATGATGCTGTCTGGTATTTTGTTGGAGGGCAGATATTCTTGCAGCAAATAGTTCAAGCTACATCTTTTTCTCCAGGCACAAAAATACCATCAACTATTAGGGCTTATACATCAGAGAAAATATGTGAACTGAAAAAAGATATCCTTAGAATTTTTTATGAGCCAAACTACTCTCAGGAACCATGAAATAGATTACAAAGTTTGATTTGGTATTCCTGTGTTTTCTGATCTGTGATTTTCTTCCTCCTAAAAATTAGCTAGACTTTTGGCAGGAGAAAAAAATTTCCTCTATTGCAGAGTGGTTTGAGGTGAGATTGTGCTGTATGATTTATAACCTAGGGCCCAGGTCATGCTGTCTGAGCAGCTAGTGAATTCTGATTTTCAATACTACAGTAAGTACTAGAGTCAGTTTACATTTATCATTGTTATTTAAGGGAACATTGTTGTGCCCTTCTCTCTTTGGGGAGGTTTTAAGTGGCCCAGAGAATTGTCCACTAGGACAAAATTGCAAATGGTAATAAATAATGGATCAACTCTTAGCAATTTTAGATGGAGGTGATTTTTCAGCAGTACTATTTGTAATGTAATACTCTGTGCTCTGTTCACCTTCCATCCTAAGTAGAATTATGAAGCAGTGTTCTGTTTCCTATGTTCATAATTTTTTCATTTTTTAATTATTTTATCTTATTTTTATTTATTTATTTATTTTTGAGACCGAGCTTTGCTCCTTTTGCCCAGGCTGGAGTGCAATGGTGAGATCTCAGCTCACTGCAACCTCCGCCTCCCAGGTTCAAGTGATTCTGCTGCCTCAGCCTACTGAGTAGCTGGGATTACAGGCATGTGCCACCATGCCCAGTTAATTTTAGTATTTTTAGTAGAGATGGGGTTTCAGCATATTGGCCAGGCTGGTCTGGAACTCTTGACCTCAGGGGACCCACCCTCGACCTCCCAAAGTGCTGGGATTACAGGCATGAACCACTGCACCTGGTCAATCTTTCCATTTTTTAAAACAGTTTCCCGAATTACAACTCAGGCTCACAAATGATGTGATTTTATTTTCATGAGCATATATTATCCAATTCCAGTGGGGTTTTACAGGTTTTTTTAGTGGCCGCTTGACTCTCTATCTTAGCCATCCGGGGGCTCTTCAGCCCACAGGGAAGCCACCTCACCTGTCCAGGTATTAGCTTCCTGAGAACCAGGCTTATCCTGAGCTGTCAGGGAGCTTTTCAGTACTGCCCCAGGATGCTTCCCTGGAGAAGGTTCTAAGCACCTTTAGGGGAAAAAACCCTGACATTTTGGCATGGCTCCTTTATTTTGCTCTTGGATTTAAATTTTTCTGTTTGTTTGTTTTAGGCATGGAGGGGTGGTTTGGAAAGGCAAGTTTTCCCATAGTGCAGTGATATAAAAACTTACTGGGCCAGCAGCCTGAGTAAATGTTATTAACTATATTACCCTTGCCCCGGCAGGTTTAGGCTTACAGGTGTTTCCTGTCCATTTCGAGGACCACAGCTGTGAAATAATTTATATTTTGCCTCTTTAAAAAAAAATCAGGTGGGGACATTCCTAACATACCTGCAGAAGAAAATGCATCCATGCCAACTCCCAGTTCAACCCTGGTGTGTCCTGTGAGAAGCCACAGAGCCCTCCCACCCCTGAGGACAAGGTCGAAGAGTGACCCCATGCTCCATCATTCTGAGGAGAGAGGTGATGTCATTCCCCAAGCTCTTCGCAGGGCTCTGTACTTATTTGTCTAAAGGAGCCAGGTGAAGGCAGGTGGCTCTGGCCAGCTCGAGACCCTGCAGTTGACGTGGTTATTCGAAAGAGCTTATGAGGCCTTGGGAAAGTAAAATATTCTACATGCATGCTAGAAATATACATCTATCATGTCTTTTCAGGATGGTAGGGTTTTATTTTATTTTTTTTAAAGTCATCGTCATAAAAAATATTTGGTTGTACATGATACTGTGCTAGGTGCTATATGAAGAAAATTATGCACACCTAGTTCTGGTTTCTAGATGCTGCAATCCTATGGGAATATGCATTCTCTTAAAAAAAAGTCAAAAGGATTTTTGTATACTCCCTCTTCTATAATTTGTCATATTTTTACTATGTATGAGTAGATTGAATTATTGGAATCCGACCTTGTTTTTAGAACTTTGATAGAATGAAATACATATGCCCACACACTTCACCTCTCTCTCTGTGTTGAGTTTGTGTATTGATGTTACCTGAATAACTAAACATTTAAAAAAATTAAAGTAACGACAGAGGATTTTTTTCTGAATATGTGAATACCTGAACATCTCCAAATATCTCTTCATTGTAGAAAATTATAAAAAATAAAGAAACTAAAGGAAGAAAATTAAAACCTCCTGTAACTCCACCAGCACTGGCTTCTTGTGAAGTAGTCTAGCAGGGCTGACCTCTGTTCTTCTAAAACTCTATGCAAATAAAACTCTGATAATCCTCCACCCTGCTCTCTCTAGGGTCCTGCCTTGAGCCCTTGCAGTCTCTGTTCTGCCCCTCTGACAGTGTGTTATTTGCCACAGCTCTGGATTGACCATGTGCGAGCCAGAGAGAACACTCCTCTTGTCTCTACAGCGGCTTCTGAGTAGAAAGTCCTGCCACCTGGTACTGAGTCTCTGAAAGCCAGTGGCTGGGCAGCCTGGCTTCTGATTCCCAAGACCTGCCTTCACTGTGGGTCTCCTACACCCTACATGGCAAGTTGAGCACTACAGCCTCAATGGAAACTTAGCTGTTTGCACCTCTTAGGGAAATCTCTCTGGAACCCTTTCTCATTCTGCAGACCTGCAGAGATGAGGACAGCAGCTGCTGGAGCCCTCCATTGTGGAAGGCACAAGCTTGCCTTCGAGTGGAAGAGTGGAGACCCTGACTCTGTCCTCACACGAGTGTCTTTGGCGAGTGCTTCTGAAAGACTCTTGCTCTCTGTGACATGTACATGGCTGCCTGAGGGGACAGTCTCGAATCCTGGTTTAGAGCTCCCCGTGCCTACCTTTCTCCAGAAGAAAAGGAGTGCTCCCCTTCTTCACCTGCTCTCACCTCCTGCTTCTTGTCTTCTTTGAATTTCTAAAGTTCTGCTTATCAGGCCTTCATAGACTGATGATACCAGTGCTGTGTACACTGAAGGCTGCTGGCTGGCTTCTGGACACATAATGACCAGATCTGAGTTTTGCTTGACCCACTTCACAGTGCAGAAGCCTTCTGCTGGTCTTTACACCCTTGCTGATGTAGGTAGCCGTGGAGATTAGAGCCTGTGATGGATTTCTCAGGCCCTCTGTTGACTTCCAAATGATGTGTACTTTTTCTGCACCTAAATTTCTCTTTCTGTAATAGCTATAGATCTACCTCATATCCATGGTGTGAGCATCAATAATGCAAGTCAGTACAATGTCCTTGAGGACATTTGGGACAAAGGTATAGTCAAAGTGACCAGAGCATTACTTTCATCCGACAAGTCTTGTCTTCCTTCAGCCCCTTCCTCTCTTAAGTGACTGCTTCATCCTCACTCCTTGGAACGTCCTTTCATTGGTCAGCCACATTTTTCCTGCTTGGCCCATCCATCCCCATCTATTTGTCATACCCCATGAAACTTACTTCATTGTGGTTTGCATTCTGGATTCTCCTCTCTACCATCCGGCTTTACCTTGGGGGTGGTGTTGTACATGACACCATTACATGTTTTGGACCATATCCAAGTGGAACTGGACTTCAGGGAATAACCTGGTATCATAGTTGTTTTCCCCCCTTCTGCAAGATGAAAAGCAGGGTGTGCATGGCTATCAGCATTTGTCAGATGCTTCCATGTTGAGTTTTGTGGTCTGTGCTTTCAGGTACAGGCATGTATTCAAAAGGGGTTGGCCAATGGGTACATGTTATTTGTTTCTGCCTACAGCTGCCCCAGTGCTCAGCTGTGAAGCTGCAACACAGACTGAAAGGAGACTGGATTTGGCTGCAGTGACTTTGAGGAGAGGCCTGAGATCAAGAGCTTCGCGATGCAGACCACGGTCTTTGATAGATTACAAATCCTACATGGACACCAAGCTGCTGGTGGCGAGGTTCCTGGAGCAGTCCTCCTGTAGCATGACCCCAGACATCCATGAACTTGTAGAAAACATTAAATCTGTTTTGAAGTCTGATGAGGAGCACATGGAGGAAGCCATCACAAGTGCCAGTTTCCTAGAACAGGTAGTTTTATTATTAATCTCAGACATGAATCAGATAACTCATTTTCATAGCAGCTCAAGTGGCTTCTCCAATTTCCTGTCTGAGGCAGAGTAAGTTCATGGTCACAGTCTTCAGGTAAATGTGGTTGGGAGGTCAGGGGAGGGAGAGAGAGGAAGCCACGGAGCTTTCAAGTGTGGTGACTTTCCTACATCATCCTTGGCTCAAGGGAAGAAAATCCAGTTTTTCTGGGATGTGAAAGCATGTCTGGAAAAAGAAAAGAGTGTGTCTTAGGAATAAGAGCAAAGGCTATGGACAGTGTGGAGTGCATGCAACATTTGGTTTCCTGAATTGAAGGTTTCCTTTGATAGGGCATGTTTTCTCAGCTCTTTGAAAATGATGACATAAGTGAATTTTAATATTGACAAGATTCTAAGAGCTGTTCACATTACCATGAAATGTTTGGCAAGATAAATAAGCCAACAGGTCCTAAAGGAATAAACACCTTTTCTTCCTATAGATTAAAAAGTACAAGGCAATCCCCAAAACTGAAGTCACTTGGGAAAAGATAGAATTGGGCATGAACATAATCCAGTTGGGTCTCAGGTTTCTCCTCTTTAAAGTAAAGGGTTGGACTAGTTAGTCTCTGTACCTTTATTTCTGAATGAATGGAGTTTCCCTCTGGTAACGGCCTTCCCTCCAACTCTTTTAAAAGCCATTCCCTTTTGGATGTTTGCTTCATTGCTACAGGTAGTGGGGTGGAGGCTGCAGACAGCACCCCACAATGGCATTTGGATGTTATGTGTCTTTGTGCATTAAATGCCCCCAGAATGCTTCTTCAACTGAAATGGGCTAATTTCTCAGGGTAATTACCAACTTCAGGATCATAGGTAAATTTTCAACTCAGATTGAGTAAATACCCTTCTCACTTTTCCCTCTGTTCCCTCTTTCTACGTGCTGGCCTCTTCTTACAGAAGCCGGAAGCCAAACTCTCTCCCAGTCTCTCAGGGGATCCAGCGGGAAGGAATGATCTGATTACTTGCATGAAGAGGTACATGAACCACAGACCCTAAAAAGTCTGATCAGTTGATGGTTCTGGATCCGGCTCCAGTTACTAACCTGTGTAGGGGAAACATTTTACATCCTGGTGTCCCTTAGTTACTCCAGATATCATTCTCTGTCACCTTCCCTCTGTCCAATAAACAGGAGCCACTTCTGGAAGGCTGCTAAGCTCTGATGAAGTAAGAGCTGGAGCATTCACCAGGCAGTGGGCCTGGACCTTCTGCAAAGTTTTGCTCCTTGGGAAAAAAGAACAAGCACTTGTACAGTTCACTGGATGCTATCATTACAAATGTTTGCTAGATCTTTGTGCTCCAGACAGGTTAAAAGTTCAGGTGCTGAGATTTTTGTGATATATTTTGGGCCATCTGCTGGGCCTTCCAGGACTGGACCCTAGAGGTCAGGTTTTGTAATGCCATACCTTTTCCCAGGCAGGAGGTAAGGACTGCAGAAGGAGACCTGTTATTTCTGACTCTAGCTGGCTTCCCACATTGGAGTTTTTAGATCCATTTTGATTTTCACTGATATCAAAACCACTTATCCTAACTTACTATGTAACACAGTCAGCTTCTATGAATGTTGAACTTTCATTCTGAATCAGGAGACAAGACAGACCTTAAATACAAATGTAATTAGTAGACTGTTGATAACGTTTAATTTCCCATCTTTGGGGGAATAACTTTCTAATGATCTTCAAAGCTCAGAAAGTACAAATGAAACAAAACGTCATCCAAATGATTGTGCTGTGATGTTAGGTAATAATAAAGCCCCAAGTTTTTCCCAAGCTGTTAGCAGTATTATAGGTCATATAGACATGGCTGTGCAATTTTTAAAACATTGACTGAACAGTTCTCTTAAATCCCAGTTGGATGAGGAATTGTTCATATTTTTGCCATTTTTACAAAGTAAGTGATATTATTATATATTCAAAATTATGTTTGTGACACATTGCAAAATAGATCTAGCAAAAGAATCATTCTTAAATACTTTTTACAAATTAACTGGTCTGGTTTTTGTGTTGTTTATTAAAGGATTATCATATCCATTTGAAACATCATTGGATGGTTTAGGTTGACCTTTTTTCTTTTTTTTGAAACAGGGTCTTGCTTTGTCACCCAGGCGAGAGTGCAGTGGTGTAGTCATAGCTCACTGTAGCCTTGAAATCCTGGGCTCAGGTGATCCTGGCTTCACCCTCTCAGGTTGCTGGGACTACAGGCACACACCACCACGCCCAGCTAAGTTTTTTTTTTTTTTTTAATAAGTAGAGACAAGGTCTTGCAACATTGGCAAGGTTGGTCTAGAACTCCTGGGCTCAAATGATCCTCCTGCCTCAGCCTTCCAAGTAGCTGGGACTATAGACATGAACCACCATGCCCAGCTAATTAAAAACAATTTTTTTTTTTTTTTTTTTTTTGTAGAAAGGTAGTCTCACTATGTTACCCAGGCTGGTATCAAAGTCCTGTGTTGAAGTAATTCTGCCTCGGCCTCTCAAAGTGCTGGGATTACAAGTATGAGCCACTGTGCCCGTACTTTGGTTAACATTTTATACATCCATCACCTGGTTCTAATCCCAGATCAGTGGTTCTCACTTGGGTTCTTGTTAAAAATACAGACACCTGAGCCTGAGTCCAGGCTAACTGTCCCCATTGCTATGGGATTTCTGTGGCAATTCAGCTGGGAATCCATGTTTCTGACAGTAACTGTCCCTCCCCGACCCAGTTATAATGTTCAGATGCCAGCAAGGATCATTGACTTAGACTTTGGAGAAGTTAGAGAAAAGTGATGAGAAGAATGTTAAAGCAAGAAATTGCAGTGGACAAATCAGTTAAGTGTGGTTTATGGGTCTACAGCTGAAATGGTAGAACATTTGGAGAATTTACATTCAAAGAACCTCCAGAATTTCAAATGAGTTCCACTTTGGGAAAATGCCTTTTTTTTTCTTTTTTAAAGCAATTACACATGAAGATAGGTGGATGGACGTAGGAGGTAAGTCAAAGAGCCACATCTAGTAAGACTTACTTAACTTCTCCCCACCTCCTCTTCTCCCAAAGATAATGGCCCCATTGCAGCCCAGCACATCCAGGACCCACATGCTGCCCTCGCGGAGACAGCCTGGCCTGCTGCACCTCCAGAGCTGCGGTGACTTGAGCACCTTCACACCGGTGGGGAGGCCCCAAGCTGAGAGGAGGCCCCGGCGAGTGGAGGCTGAGCGGCCACACAGCCTCATTGGGGTCATCCGAGAGACTGTCCTGTGAACCCTGGAAAACAGAAGGCCACTCCAAGGGGAAGGATTCCCCTCCTCTCTGCCATTTCCTGGCTAGGAGCTGGGGTCCTCCTCAAAAAAGAGGGCACTGTGGAGGACACGTTTTCCTACTTGTTGGCTCCTGTGTCTGCTGACCGAGGGCATTCAGGGGTAAATGCACAGGTCAGCCCAGGCCCATTTGGGTTTGGGCTGCACCGAGTTGGAGGTTATGAAAGCATTGATCCTCTCCTTCCTCTGCTGGGCCTCGTGGCATTCCCAGGGGTCACATGCCCTGGCGTGGGCAGAAACTGGGCTAATGAGTCTTTGCCCACTTCACCCCTAGAGTCTCTCTTTGTTGCTAAGTTCTTTTCCTCTTGGAAGGGCAGCTCTGCCGGGCTGCTATTTTTAGCTGCCTGTGGCCTTTCACTGCTCGGTGAATTGGCAGGAAATAGGTGATTAACCCTATGTGTCCACAAGCCTCAAGCTTGTTTCAGGTCACCCTCAAATCTCACTCTCTTTAGGCAAAACAGGAAACTTTTTAAGTGAGAAATTTTAATGCAAGACATTTAAGGAGAGGATTATTGTTGATTCCATTTACTCATGCTTGCAAAATTAGAGACCCCTAAGGCAGAGCTGAGAATAAAAATGTTTACTCTGGGCCGCTAGGGTTGATGTGTAATACTTGTTTGTACTCAGGTGGCCAAGCCTTGCCTTACAGAGGACTGGGAACTTGGAGCTGTGGTGGTCAGGCTCACCACGCAGGCCACTGAACCAGTTTAATTTATAAAGCATCCAAAGCCCGTGGATAACATGTGTCCTTCATTCAATCAGCAAGAGCTTAGCTCGATGGCTTCATGGAGCTGCCTTCTCATGGGATCATGAACAATAAATCAATAAAGTAATTACAGATTGGGGATGATTGCTGAATAGATAAGTAGGTGGTTAGAGAAACTTCTTTGAGAAAAATGACACTTGAGCTGAGTCACGACTTAGAGGGTCAGGGATGAATGTTCCAGGTAGGGAGAGAGAGAGAGAGGCGAAGAACATCAGAGGTCACTGGGACCACAGCCCTGAGTCAGGGCAGCAGTGGGCAGAAGCTGCACAGACTGCCTGTTGCTAACAATGAGTTTTCAGGAGAGTGAGGGATGTCAGCATATTTTCAGAAGATCACCATGCTGCATGGAGAACAGTTTAGGCCAGCCGTGAGTGGAGGTGAGGAACTGAATGAAGAGGTTACATAGGAGGTAGAATACTGCTTCTTGCTGGGCACTGCCTGTGCACCAGATACTAGGCCAAGAGCTTTGCACACGCTCCCATTTTATGCTCATGACAGCGTAGGCAGTGGGAGCTGTTATTGTCCCTATTTTACAGATGTGGAAAATGAGGTTCATTCATTTTTCCATGGTTCCTCTACAGCTATGGGTTTGCCATTTCATGTTTCTGTGAGAAAGGGCTGTTAAGATTTCTAGCTTGCCTCCCCAGACCACAGACTCCCTGGCTCCAAGCCAACAAACCATGCCAGAATGGGAACTGTCGTGGGGACAAGGGCTGGAGAAAAGGCGGGGAAGACTCCCATGTGGAGGTGCTGAGCTGGGGTGGGAAGGGGGCTGTGGAAACAGCCCTAGAAATGGGGCAGAGATGGAGGCTTGTCAACAGGCTGGGGTCTGGGCCCTTGTGTGGGGTGAGCTGTGTTTGGGGGTACAGTGACATCTCAGGATGACATTTTCTATGTTCTTATTCTCCCATTCCCAGAAACTGAATTCCCTTCAGGTACATGATCTTTCCATTTCTCTAGGAGTCCTCTCAGCACCACAGCTGTCCACTGTCCACTGTGGGTTGGCCCACTGCCCGGGTAAGCCCCTGCCTTGTTTGAGGGCCTCACTGCAGCTCTCCGACATTCCATGGACTGCCCATGTGGCCCAGTCTAGTTTTTTCTTTCTTTCACAGCTGCTTGTGTACCCCCAAACTGGTTTCTCCAGGTGAGGCCCCACGACTCTTAGCCAACTACTTTGTCCCTCTCCCACAGCCAGGCAGGACAAGGGACCGGCCCTCCCTTCCCTCACTCAGGCCTGGCTAGACCTCTGTCACCGCCCTGGGCTTCTGTTTTTCCCCCAGCTGCATTCCTCTCTACCTTCCCTCTGAACCCTGTCGCTCACCTCCACCTGCCACTACAGGCCTCCCTGTGTACCTGAAAGGCTCAAGGAAGACAGGTAGGCACCACAAGTGCTGGCAATGTCTGGCTTCTAGTCTTGGGGGGGACAGTCACAGAGATGGCCTCAGTCATCCCAAGGAATGAGAAATTGGCAGCACCAACCAGAAGAGGAAAGGAGGCATAAAGCCTGAAAGCATTAGTTAGATGGACACCAGGAGCAAGTGGGGTGGGGGCTGTCTTAGCTTCATAGAATTGTCCCTGCAACTTGAGAAATGGCATGTAATTCTAGGACTTGAAGATATCGGCGAAATCTGAAAACCTACTTCTGTCTCCCTTCTCTGACTTTAAGGACTACTGAAGTA